TCACTTCGGTACGTCACCCCTATATAATGCCCCCTCACTTTGGTGCTTCACCTATATACCACCCCCCCTTATAATGCTTCAACCCCTACACCGCTACTATAACAATTTACCTATTTTACCTCACCTCTCTCACCCTACCTAGCTATCTATTACATCTCACCTCTCTCACCCTACCCACCTCTCTTACGCCACCTACCTATCTATTACCCCTTACCGCTCTATAGCTATACCACCCCCCCACCCCGGTACGTGATGCCTATATCACCCCTAATACGTCTATACTACCACCCCGGTGTAAAACCTCACCACCTACCTCGGCCTAATATTAACCTTATACGGGCCTAAAACCTATTAGCTATTATAATGAATGTACGATATATACGATAAAATGATAATAACTGTATATATTTGCTAATAATATATATAATTCATATTTTTCTAATGCCTCTTTTCAAATATATATCGTAACTTCGCGTAATGTCTTAATGCTATATTTCCTAGCTCGACCCTTATGATCTAAATTTTACCTTACCAAAAACCTCTAAATAAATGAAATATTTGACTAGCCAGTTGGATTACCTCTCTACGGCTATACTACCCCCCCTCACCTCGGTGCTTTACCCCTATCTAATGCCACCTCACTTTGGACCTTCACCCGGATACTCCCNCCTCACTTTGGACCTTCACCCCTATACTAACCCCCCCTTATAATGCTCTACCTACCTATCTATTACACCTTACCTACCTATTACACCTCACCTCTCTATTACACCTCAGCTCTCTATTACACCTCACTTCTCTATTACACCTCACCTCTCTATTATACCTATTACACCTTAAATAACCTATTCTCGCCCTAAATTCAATTTATAACGCTATTTAATACTCTCACTATATTAACTCCTCTCTCTATACTCTATCCACCTCCTTCGGACCCATATATACTTATGTACCAATTTCACCGTCTCCCCGTTATGCCGTGACCCTAAATACCGTACGAGCTCGCTCTCATTGCCGATTGACACCCCGAGCCCTTCTAACCTCCGAGCCCACGCCTCCTTTATCACCTCACTTCCCTCGCCGTATACTATCACTGCTAGCCCCGATAATAATAAGCCTCGATACGTACAATCCTCCTGCCTACCGGTATACGCGAATCGACTGTAAATGGACTGCGGCATGCCACACTAGTAACAAGCACTAAATCTAGCAAATTGAATCTGCCGGCGTACGCGTATCCACCAGCTTTTCGGTGATTTATTGCCGTACTGGGTCTGAGCCCGGCACTGGTATAAATCATGCTGGTCTTCAAGCCCACGCTGAGTACAAAACTAGCATCGTCCTATCTATATCTGGGCCTGTTGTAATAAAAATTCGACCCCGGTGGCAATTTCTTGATGTCTTGCCTGATCTACCTCTTGGACTACCTGTCTCTCACGGTCTAGCCGCTGGAACTGGTCAATTGCATGCGGGGGGATCAATGGACGGGCCACGCGCGTTGGTAATGAATGGGTCAGCTCCCGTGGCGTCGAATTATCAATTGGCAATGAATTGGTAATTGGTGCTTGCAATGAATGGGTAATTGGTGCTTGCAATGAATTGGCTAGCTGCCGTGGCGTCGAATTATCAATTAGCAATGAATTGGCAATTGGTGCTTGCAATGAATGGGTCAGCTGCCGTGGCAAATTAGCTGTTTCTATTAATAATGAATCGGTCAGTTTCCTTGGCATTGAAATTACACTATGGGTGGTCTCTTACCTAGTGGCTTAATACTACGGCGATAAATCGGACTTATCGATCCGACCTGGGACCGAAATCCGACGGATGCACTCTCACTTCGCTGGGAATTCGCCTCCGAATCGCTAGTTAATTGGTTCACTTCCGGTGGCCCCTGGCTATATTGAATACCCTCTATGGGTTGCTCCGTATGAGCGTCCGCTGGCTGGTTCAAAACATGGGATAAAACCATGGGATCGGATATCTGAAATGATGTATTGCGAACTGGGCCATTTCTCTCACTTCCTAGCTGACTTGCCGCCTCACTGGCTAGCTGACGTGCTGGCTCACTTGCTAGCTGACGTGCTGGCTCACTTGCTAGCTGACGTGCTGGCTCACTTGCTAGCTGACGTGCTGGCTCACTTGCTAGCTGACGTGCCGGCTCACTTCCTAGCTGACGTGCCGCCTCACTTCCTAGCTCACTTGCTAGCTCACTTACTACCTCTTCATTTGCCTGCCAATGCTCGTCACACCTATCGCAGCGCTGCTCTGTATCATCAGATTCTCTACAGTATTGCCGTTGGTAGCTATCTAAATACTCGTTAAGTATGACGCGTCGGCAGTCTGGAGATATATATCGGTCTAGCCGGTATTGCTCCGCCTGTGCTTTCACGGGGTCTTCATGAATTGGGTCCCATTTCGGCCGTAAAAACCCGTGGGGTTGAACAATAATAGCCTCACTGCGACGCCCGTCTCGGCCAGCACGGCCGCTCTCTTGCGCGTAGTCCAATAAGCTGCGTGGTAACCCAATGTGAATAATACTACGAATATTGGGTATATCGACACCCATACCAAGTGTAGTAGTAGCGGCCACTACCCCCGTGGTATCGGCCTGGAAACGGGCCAGTACGCCACTGCGATCGATCGTCTTACTATGATATGCCTCACATTCGACTAACTGGGCTAGTTTGTCAATAGCCTTAGTGGTGGGCCCGTAAATGACCACTCGGCCGGCCTAAGCACGCGCGCGCGTAATACGATCTCTAATAAATCGTACTATATTGGGGTCCGCTACCCAATGGTAGCTATTGGCGTATTGGTTCGGCACCGTGGGCTGCCATAGCCGGTACGCGACATTCATGCGATGGGTGCGTGACCGAAATAAATGGACCTTCTCTCGCGACGTGCGTAGACGTTGAAATAGCTGGTTTTCGGCCGTCGGTGGCAGCGTGGCAGTCAAATATATCATCTGAGCCTGAGCCACGAGCAATCGACCTAATTGAGCCATGGCGGGCCTGAAATTGGTCTGATCGTTTAATACGACGTGGCATTTATCGATCACAATGCGATCTAACCGATGACATAGCCGCTGGCGGTTCAAAAATGTCATGAAATCCTCCGTAATAGCTGACTCTGGCGTCACTAGCACAATGGATGCCTGGTCTGCCGGCCGACGGCTCTCCCACGCCACGCATGAAATGCCGAGCTGCCGGCATCGATGCACTATGTCACCCCGTAATGCAATTAATGGCACTACCACCACCGTGACCCCACGGGGGCTGATCCACGCGGGAAGCATGAAAAGTAAGCTTTTTCCACCCCCGGTTGGCATAACGGCCACCACCGGGCTCTGGCCTTGCTGAATAGCTTCCAATGCTGGTGCTTGCACCCCTCGGAGGCGTAGCTCGCTATTACCCATCATGCGCTGTATCTCCGGCTCTATGGCTGCCTGCGTCAATTGCCACCGACGCTCCGTACGACCTATCTTAGCTTCCTTCTGCTATGGTGAAAACTGGGCCAGTCCTAATGCACTCTCGGCACCCCCGTTATCCGTGGACACAAAGCCTAAAAAGCGATGCTAGTCGGTGCTACTAAGCCGAAATATCTCACGCCGGTGGGCCGTCGTACCGGGCTGCTCAGTGATGCCACGACCGTAGATCATGCCGGCAACGTGCGATGAATAGGCCGCCTGGAGGTCAGCAATGTGACCTATCCATTGCTTAGCATTCATGCCCTCTTCGTCATCCTCTTGTGAAGCCTCGGCTCGCACGTCCTGCTGCGTATTATTGGGAAATACGCTAGATAGCCGTATGAAGCGACGGCTAATGCCAATAGCAATATCCCGGTAAGCGTTCAAATGAATAGCTTGACCATTAAGCCCAATAGTGGTTTCTCGCTTTAGCACTTCACGGAGTCTATCGGATGACCAATCTCGGCCAGTGCCAGGATCCGGACCCCAGAGGTAAGCCTGGCGCATTTTACTAAGTCCAAAATTAGTAAAAATTCAAAAGTAATTCAAAAGTAATTGATGAAACTGAAGAAATTGATGAAATTGATGAAATTGATGAAATTGATGAAATTGATGAAATTGATGAAATTGATGAAATTGATGAAATTGATGAAATTGATGAAATTGATGAAATTGATGAAATTGATGAAATTGATGAAATTGATGAAATTGATGAAATTGATGAAATTGAAAAAACTCACCTTTTGATCTCCTCCACGCCATCTGATCTCCGCACCTTCGCTACGTACGCCTCCAATCGCCGTGTAAATGGCAATACTAGCCATAAATAATGGACCACAAGCTCTCCTACCTCACGGGGTAAATAGCGATGAATCACCTTAGTATCATTGGATGCGTAAAACCCCTTGTGGTATTGTGAGACGAATGCAACGAGCCCGTCCTCAATGAATACGTTACGACGGCCCCCGCTATCAGTATTGCAATGCCGAATACTTAATAGCTCGGGTGCGCGAGCCGGCTGGCCACCACTCACGTGAATAGCAATAGCAAGCTTCTCACGGAAATACGCTACCCTTTGAAGGTATACGTCAATTGCTGCTATACGTAGACGACCGGCACTGCTCTCGATAAATCGCTGCCGTACGGGGCCGCTATGCTGCCGGAACCGGCCGATCAGCCATTGCTCTCCCTTAACGGGCCATGGCGTACGGGTGTCTTTTAAGAAATTCTACCCGTGGGCTGTCTCCGTGGGATCGTCGTAAATTGCCTGCCATAGAATAGCTGGAACTGACCCATTTTCGCTAAATAGTAGCTCATTGTGGAGAATCTGACGTGCCGAGCTAATAAGCCCGTGGATGAACCCACGGAAGTCACCCATTGTGAAATTGAATTGCTGGTAAAGTAGCTGGTCCTGGTTCATCCATCCGACGTGGCCCGTCGTGGTGCTATTATAATGGATCTTCAACCCATAAGTCCGTAGATCTAATAACCATTGAATTGGGCTATTTGTTCCACGGACCATGAATTGGCTTACCATCTCAGCCACCCACTCTCTGAATGATCGCTGGGTCTGCCGTTGAGCCTGGGTGAATTCAATAAATTGAGATGACTGGCTAGCCGTGGGTGGCTGAACTAGGCCAGTTTCAAAATTGTAAAATGGATCCTCTGATGTCTGAAATTGAGGTGAATCTAGCGGACTCTCGGTATCCCAATCACCTGCCATTTGATGCTCCGCTAGCTGATATAGCATTGCCTCCGCCGTAGAATCCAATTTCAAAGCCTTGTGGACTACCATAAAGCGTGCGATCTTGATCAGCTTCGATAAAATAGGTGGATAGCTCTCAGCAGTACGCCAGCCTACCTCTCCACGGCCGAGCACTGCCGTGGCACAAACTAGCGCGCTCTCATAGTCCTCAACCTTAATTCGATGGTTTAATAGCTCAATGCAAAAATTGAGACACGCTGAATCAATAGGTGCGAGGTAAAACGGGGATTCGGTGCTATTGTGCTGATTCGCTAGTGATTCGCTAGCAATTCGCTGCGTGGGCTGATTCTCGGTATCACTCTCTGAATACTCACTCTCTAAATGCTCGCTATTATCGTCTGAACTAGCCGTGGCTGAACTAGCCGTGGCTGAACTAGCCGTAGCTAACCTAGCCGTGGCTGAACTAGCCATAGCTGACCTAGGTGATGCGCCCGGCTGGGCCAGTTTCCAAAGCGAGTTCCACGCAGCGCGCTGGCGCCTAGTAAATTTGTAATTTGGACTAGCCCATTCATGCGCAGCCTGCGTGCGAGTGAAAAACATCAAAATTTGCTGCCACGGGATAGTGTGTCTCTCAATGTTATCGGCATCCATGTAAGCTTGCAGCGGCTGGTGCGGTAGTCGGTCGCGCTCCGTCCGTACGGCCTCAGTGCGAATTGTATGGCTAGTTTTCATGCAAACTAACTGGCTAATTCTCGCGACGGCAGCCATTGCATCCCATATAGCACTTGCCGCTATTTCAGTTAGATCGGATGAATCGGCGTCGGGTGCGTGGACGCAGTCAATAAGGTGCTGGGGGTCAATTCCACGGAGGTAGACGGCCCACTACGTACGACGTAGCCATGGATTCGCATCATCGCGCTCGCTAGCTTTAATTACCTGAGGTAGCTCACTTTCCTCTCTGAAAGCTAGCTCAATTTCATCAATAAGCCGATCGCCGACCTCGGTCGCGGGCATTGAGTCGGCCCCGGCAATGGCCTCCGCCCCGAGCGTACGCACGCGAATGTAATGAGATCCTAGCCCTTGGATAAATGCGCGCTGGCATCTTACGACGCGTGTAAATTGCTGAATTTGCTGCTCAGCCTCCGATAACCCTTGCTGCCGCCGACGGCCTCCATGGTTGACGGGTGCGACCCAGGCATGCTGCTCACGCCAGTGCTTACGTATAGTGCCAGCTTTCCTAGCAATAAATTGACAAAACTGACCCTTATTGCATAAAATGCCATCCGAAAAAACTGGCAAATTAGCAATTGGGTCATTTACCGCCGTCGGGGGCTGCCATTCATCGCATTCATACGCCCGGTCGGAGGTTTGAACCACGTGAGCAATTTGACGTGCTATACGCATTGGAAGCCGATGATTCGCTGATTGAAGGTGTCGTAAGACCTCTCTCGGTCTCACAACGTGCTCGCATGTCTTACACACAAAGACTGGGTCAGTCGAAGGTTCGTAGAAGTATTGCATGATAGTGGTGTAGAGATATATCTAATGGCCACGGGTAATGTGAGATAAACTTGAAGAAAAAGTGAGAATTGATCTCTAGTAAAATAGGGTGGAAAGGTAGCCAGATTAAATTGAGAATGCTAAAACCCCCTATTTAATGATAGACCCCGTGACCACTATTGACTAGTATTATTGTTTACGGTAGTGGGTAGCGTCTTTGGTAGTAAGCGTACGCCATAATAGTTAAACTTCATGCATACGATGCGTAAACACATCTCCAATTTTCAAACGCGAATTTCTCCACGGTTAGCAGCCCCCCCGCTATAAGCTTAGTATTATAATACTAGCAAAAATACGGGCTATCTAGCCATGTAAGGATATTGTGAAAAATCCGATATTTTGCAAAATTTGGATACATACCTTTTTCTCATGTTCAAAAAATAAACATAATAGGTTCCTAGGCGGCCAGTTTCCGGCGCAAATTAAAAATGCTGCGGCATTAAGATAGCACCGAAGTAGATCTATTTAGGCACTAATTATTAGATCTATAGCCCCCCCGTATAGGCGTCAAAGCCTAAGTCTAATGTTCATAAAAGGAACATGTTATGCAGCTAAAATGCAGAGGCGTATAACTTTTGCTATAGTAGACCCCCCGTCCTAGGGAGAACCTATTATATAGACTATACCCCACTCTCTCTATATAGTAAATAGCTAAGTAATAGACCTAGTAATAATAGAGTAGTAGGTAATAATGTAAATTGGTAATAAACATCTATCTATTATAGGTAATAGTAGACGCCTAAGAGTAAGCTTGCTACTATAATACTAGGAAAGGTACGGGCTATCTAATATTGCAATATTAATATTAATAATGCTAGGAAGTGATCTCATAGAAGGGTCCAAATTAGTGAAAGTAATATATTAAAAAAATAGATATCTAAGGCTATAGGGGGCCCCCCGCTATAAGCCTAGTATTATAATAGTAGCGAAAATACGGGCTATCTAGCTATATAGAAATAGTGTGAAAAATCTAGTATTTCCCGAAATTTGGATACCTACCTTTTTTTCATGTTCAAAAAATAAACATAATATGTGCCTAGGCGGCTAGTTTTCGGCGCAAATTAAAAATGCTGCGGCATGAAGATAGCACTAAAGCAGATCTGTCTAGGCACCAATTATTAGATCTATAGCGCCCCCGTATAGGCGTGAAAGCCTGAGTCTAATGTTCGTGAAATAAACATGTTATGCAGCTAAAGCGCCGAGGCGTATGATATTTGCTATGCTACACCCCCGGTGCTAGGAAGAAGGTATTATATACACTATGCTCTACTCCCTCTATATAGTAAATAGCTAAGTAATAGACCTACTAGTAAGAGAGTACTAGCTAATAATGTAAAGAGGTAATACACACCTCTATATCTAAGGTAATACTAGACCCCCGAGAGTAAGCTTAGTAGTATAATACTAGGAAAAGTATAGGCTATCTAATAATATAATAATAATACTAATAATGCTAGGAAGTGATCGAGTCAAGGGGTCTAAATTAGTGAAAGTAATACTTAGAAAAGGTAGATATCTAATGCTATAGTAGGCCCCCTAGTATAAGCTTAGTATTATAATACTAGTAAAAATACGGGCTATCTAGCTATATAGGAATATAGTGAAAAATCTAAAATTTCCCAAAATCTGGATACATACCTTTTTCTGATGTTCAAAAAATAAACATAATAGGTGCTAGGGCGGTTAGGTTCTAGGGACGAATCAAAAATGCTGCGGCATCAAGAGAGCACCGAAGCAGATTAGTCTAAGCGCCAATTCTTAGATCTATAGCCCCCCCGTATAGGCATCAGAGCCTAAGTCTAATGTTCATAAAAGGAACATGTTATGTAGCAAAAATGCTAAGGCGTATAACTTTTGCTATAGTAGACCCCCCGTCCTAGGACGAACATAGTATATAGACTATACACTACTCTCTCTATATAGTAAATATCTAAGTAGTACACCTACTAGTAATAACGTACTAGGTAATAATGTAAAGAGGTAATACACACCCCTATATCTAAGGTCATAGTAGACCCCCCGGAGTAAGCTTAGTAGTATAATACTAGGAAAAGTACGGGCTATCTAATTATACAATAATAATAGTAATAATGCTAGGAAGTGATTGGTTAGACTATTCCCGATTAGTGGAAAAAGTGTTAAAAACCATGCTTTAGATAGATATTAGGTGGTACTCTCACTTATATATATCTCTACACTCCGATATGTATATCTCTACTATAATAGTCTAAAATTTTACTACTAGCAAATAAGGCTTCCTAGCATCCTAATTAGGTCTAGCCTATAGCCTACTAGCTAATAATCTACTACTATATAGTATAGACCATGATATACTACCTTTTACTAGTAATAAAATGTTTAAAGCCTAATAACTCACCCGATATTAGACCTACCAATTCAAGAGTAGTATATTTGAAATCAGCTAATTTTTCTCTATCGAATAAGCTTTTATAGTAAATGATCAGCCTTAGATATAGTGGGTTAAACCTTTATATATACGTAGAGGCTACCCGGGTGCTTGCCTTTGTGGTAGTAATGTGTCAAAATACGCGGATGTAAGAAACGGATACATTGTAATCTATTTACTAAGGACTACCATAGATAAGGTGCCGTATTAGGGTTACGGTAACAAATCCCGTCGGTCGCACCCTAACAAAACTTTTCACCCAATTTTGATTATTAACCACACCATCATTATTGGTCTGATCGGATTCAAACTTTGACAGTTCTTAGAGTATCTAGTTAAATAGAACGTCTTGAATTTATAGACCGATCGGACGACGAGATAGCCCGTAGTCGCCGAGTAAGTGCAAACCCTATAGTACTGCAACCACCCAAAAAAGTACTTTAAGGTACATCATGAAAAAACTTCAAACGTGAATATCTTAAGAACCATAAGGCTGTGCAAGCTCCGAAGCAAATCGGAGATACGTCACGTATATATCTATAAGCTATGAAAGACTTAGATCGATCGGAGCTAACCTCACCTCTGAACCCTGGCGAGGAAAAGAACCTGAACTCAGGCGTGGTGGTATTTTTATGTAACATAGTTAAGACAAAGCCCTAACCTGAACTCTGGCAGAGTTCAGCACCCCCCGTGGGATAGG